AAAAGGATATAGCCCTGATGCACACCTTTCCTGATAGAGGTTAGAATTTACAACACATATTTTGGGGGGACATAACCATAATCTATAACCACTTCCATTTGTGGTTAAGCAGAGTACATTGGGTTATTGATAGAATTAATTCACATACTTAACAATTGAAATTTTTTTTTCCCCCAAAGGTATCTCAGCGTATGGGAAGTATGTTCTACAAGAAAAGTCTTTCATTTCCTATCCATACATATTCTACAAAGCAAGCATTTGACCAACCAGAAGATACATCCTCTCCTTTGAATTTTAACTCCTGGAGTGAAACACCAAGTGTTCCTTGTTCCCAGGATATAATTCCTAAAGGAATCGAGCCAGAAAGTATGGGAAATTAAAAGCCCGCAAGGAAAACAAAAACAAACAAACAAACAAAAACAGAAAACAAAACAAGACTTTACCCATTTTCCAGAGTGGAATATATTTTTCTTTTGAAGCATGGTGAGGGTTCTCCAGGACCAGGGAAGCAGAAGGGGAGAGAAAGTCCTCCTGCAGCTGTCCTTCAGGAAACTTGGCCGGCGGCTTCCTGCAGGATTGAAGTGACTTTGGCACACAGCACGTGAGAGGTATCCCTAAAGCAAATGCCGAATGACAAGGAGAGACTTTATAAACATGGAGAAAGAAGATGTTCTAACATCCTAAGAGGAGATCTCTAAGAAGGTTTTAAGATGCTCAAACAAAAGCATGCTACATAGTGTATAAGTCCATTATTGTAGACCGTGCATGAGGACCCAAGGCGGGGGGCGGGGAAGAGGAACAGAGGGCTGAGATTGGGGTGGGGGTGTCGTTAATTTTAGGTCGCACAATTTGATGGGTGGAAGAAGGTGGGGTTGAAGGAAATGGGAAAGATCTGGAGTGAAAAACCATGTATAGAACTTTGTAAATAAGCCAATCTAAAATTAAAAAAATTTTTTTTAATTTTTATTGTATTATTTTTACGTGTACCGTCAAATTAGATCTGACTGGTACAGGAGATTGTCCCTCCTTCCCCGGCAGAGCATCTGGTGGATTCGAACCGCATGCCTCTGGGATTGTAGTACAGCGTCTTGCCACTAGGCCACCAGAGCTCCCTTAAAAATTTTTTTTTAAGTTTAATTTTTTTTATAGAAACTTTTTTTTTATTTTATTATTTTTGTGTGAGTGTACCATCAAATCAGGTCTGACTGGTACAGGAGGAAATTGTCCCTCCTTCCCCGGCAGAGCATCTGGTGGATTCAAACCATGCGCCTCTGGGATTGTAGTTGCAGCTCCTTACCACTAGGCCACCAGAGCTCCCCTTTAAGTTTAATTTTTTAATTATAATGAAAGTTTACAGAGACTTTGGATTTCCATTCATTCATTGTTGCACACTTTCCTGCCTACCCACCCCTCCCCCCAGTTTGCTTTTCTCTTTGGAAAGTAAAAAAAAAATCAATTCTTTCATTGATGTACAATTCCCCTTCCTCCCCCCTTCAGTTCACTCCACTATGCAGCCTTCATTCTGGACTCCTGTCCTGACAGTAATACCTAATCATATATTCCTCCTAAACAGTTCTCTCTCTGATCTGTTTCAATGCACTATACATTATTTAAAAGTGTTCTTTTCCTTTCTTCACAGTTCTGTGACACACAAGGGGTTGTGATCAGTCAGAATCAACTCTGTGACAAGTCATTATATTTGCTTTGGTTTCATTTTAACTCTTTCCACACTCTTCCCATCCCTCAATTCTGAAGAGACACAGGCAGCTCGGTAATCGGAAGGAAGCAAAGGAGAAAGTGTAGAAAATAATAAAGAAGAGATAGAAGAATTGACCACAGTGTAGGCCCCTAGCCTGAAGCAGACCTAAACCAGAGAAAGGGAGAAACCTACCTTGGAGTTCAGAGTATGACTATTACTTAGGACACTTAGGACTAGGTATTTTATTCCTGAAATGAACCTATTTTATGACTACTAGTGGCTGGAGAAATTAAAAGTCATAGCACCCACTACAGATTTCATCCAAGGGGTGGGGAAGAGTTATCTCCAGAAAACAGGTCAGAAGTAGTGAGAGAACTAGAGGAGATTAAAGAGGCTTCCTGCTTGCACCCCTTGGGGCACCACTCTTTGAAGTTAACCTTGAAGAAAAAGTGTCTGAGAGGACACACAGAGTCTAATAGTTCAAAACAACTATGAGATATCATCTCACCCCAGTCAGAATAGCAAAATTTAACAGAACAGCAAGCAACAAATGCTGGCGAGGTTGCGGAGAAACTGGAACCCTTATTCACTGTTGGTGAGAGTGTAAAATGGTGCAACCACAATGTAAGGCAGTATGGTGCTTTCTCAAAACGTTGGAAATAGAAATACCATTTGACCCAGCAATTCCACTACCAGCAATATACCCCAAAGAAACCATAATTTCTACCCAAGCAGATACATGTACACCCATGTTTATCACGGCTTTGTTCACAATAGCAAAGAGCTGGAAACAACCCAAGTGCCCATCAACAAACAAAAGGATAGAGAAGCT